ATTGTACGACAGTGAGGCTTCCGTGCCAACACTGATGTTGCTGTCTTTCATGATGATGATACTTGTAAGTCCATGGTTTTATATAGACCTAGATGCTGCTCTGGCATCCAAACATATTCAGAAGAATGACTAGGATCCTCGGCCAAAGCCTTAGATTCAAAGGCGTGACCGCAAGGAAGCAGTGGTCGGTGTCAGAATTCTTGAGTTGGCCAAATCTCATGAGACCAGTTGCCACAACTTTTCCAATCCCTAACGTGAAAGGCGGCAAAACCGTTTGTTAGAAGACCGCGGATTTTGAATAGCATTCTTCCATTACGGTTTGGTGGGTTACTGAGGCCCGAAAATCGCCACACCTTAATAAGTTTCAGTCCGGAAGACTGCAAGACAGTAGGCAGGGTGCGGAGGGGGCGGGAGCAGAGCTGAAAGGCCGTTGGATTCCGGGTGGATCGCGTCCATCCACTCTGTCTGGTCTGGCATTTGTTGGAGTTTGCCCTTTCAGTCCCTGTATACCCATGTAAAACTCGTAGAGCAGCTTGGCCTCATGGTTACCGGTCACTGTCCCACGGTTCTTACAATAATCATGGACTAAATAATGACTACGATTCCATGTTCCCCTCGTGACACGTGAAACGCCTTCGTGGTGACGTAGCACTCACTATTCCTTGGTGTTTTCATTAGGCCCATATGTAATTTTCTAGTAGACCGGGTGGCCGGTCGAAAATCCTCCATACCTTGATAATACTAAAACCACAGCACATACCGGTGGCACATACCCGGTGGAAGTCACACCATGGTTATCACCTTTGCACCACGAGAGGGGTGAGGGTGGACGTTATGGCGCCATACGTAACACTAGTGAGTGTTGGGGATTTCGACATTAGCGGTTTGCATAATTGAAATGAAGTTATGGTTTGGTAACGCTTTATACCTAAATTTCTTTCGCGAACAACCACTCCTATTTACATCTAATTTCGAAAGTTTTGTGCCCCTTTTTTAGTTCACGTTCCGCTTGTGGCGATTCAGTTTTTGGACATCTATCTGCCAGTCTGGTTGGTTCCTTCCCCCACTACATGGGTCCAAACAATGCTGACTGTCCTTTTCAGAAGCATACGGCCTCACTGGGTGATTGCATCCTAGTGGTTACGGGAAAATTGGAAACAAGGGCTATTCTGCTACAAAGGGATGCGGTCACACAGACGAGATACGGGGCCCTCCGACACAATGATTGCATTGGGAAATGTTACGGATCTAAAGTAAGCTCTGCTCATATCGTTTAATACATATACGCGGTATTTATGTAAGGGTGTGGTGGTCAGTCTACACTGTTGTCAAGGAAAGCACTGCAGCTCTACCAATAAGATCATCCGATACCCCTGTCCCTTTCCGTCCAAACATTTATGTTATACGAAGCGCTACAATGACCATCTTTCTTCGGTTTCGTTCACCCAAGTTTCTTGCACGTTGGTTTGCGTGGGCGATGATTGCTTGATGACCAGTATAAGTTTCTTCCTAGCAGGTCTCGAAAGCATTTTGCATTCTAAGCCGGTGAGGATTGTTTATTATGGAAGGACGTAAGATCCATATCCGGAGACTCCCTGCAGAAGGATAGAAATCGGTCAAGCAAGTCATTTAAAAGTATTGGGGTTTGGGTATGCATAGGCATAACAAAGCCAAATAGGATCAGAGAGGAAAAGATTATCAGATCATAGATTGCTCACGCTTTTGCCTGCAGATTTAATACCTGCAAACTTGCTGTAGCCTTATATTGTTCGCCAATCTTAGCCCACAGTTTCGGATTCCGGCCTGTCACCCGTCAGTCTCCAGCTGTACAAGCTGTAGTGGTTTTTAGCTATCCTTCCTTTTTCTTTTTTGCAAACTCAATGCAACATTTGTGGTTTGAATTGCGGCATTAACTCACCCTTCTATAGCTCTTCTGCGTTGTTCCAACTTAAATGAAGCCCCCGTTTTTGTTAACCTCCTCCACCTCGCTTACCAAAGCGTTTACTACTTCCTTTTTTTCAGCTGAGTAGTGGAGTCCACATGTACGCCCATTTTTGCTTGTCAGGCCCACAGTGACGCTTGAGCGCTTGATTTTTAACTATCTCAAAGAAAGTTCGGCCCATCAATAACTGCCGCCTACGTAGGTGGGAACCCCGGAATTTAACTCATCAATGGTCAGTTACACTGGCATAAGTGGTCAAATCACACAGTCAGGGGTGCTCGCACATCAAAGCCATTGCCTTTAATGCTTGGCTACTCAGTTCCCGAACTAACCAAACAAGCCATCGCCTCCAAGACTTGGCTATATGTCCCACACTCCCACTTCCCGGTGATCGAAACTAGCACCAGGAACAAATGTACATATGACACACGGTCTATAGTTGATAAATTGATTGATTGAATTGGAATGTTTTTCTGCGCTCATCCGTTATTGAACGGAAATGACGCGTAATCTTTCCTCTTTGCTTACCGCTATCTGTGAACTCGTTGTTCGGTTCGACCCGCCGCAGAACTCTGCGTTCTTCGTGAACTTGATGTCCATAGTTTGGAATGGTTGCCGTTTTTTTTTACCTTACAGTTCCTTCAGGTTCCCAGCCTAGCTTATTTTCCTCTATGAGTTCCTGCCCGGTTAAGTAGCACTCAAGGTCTAGCTGGGTACGTGACGATCTATCCTTCCTTCGTTCCACTTAGCTCGTCTGTTTCTTGCCATGTCAAATTTATCCACCGATTTTCGTGCTCATGCTCTCGCCACTTCGTATCCTCTAACCATGCTTCCCCATAGAGTAAGAGCTATACACTCCTCTGCTTTAATACGCATTGGCTTCTGCTCACATCACTCAAACGCGAACATGTTCACCCATTTAGATGGAAAAATTCAGATGGATCCAGCGTGCGCTGGTGGAGTAGTGGTAACACCCCCATCTCTCACGTCAGATGTGTTGAGTTCAGACCCCGGCACGGTCACTGGGTATGCACTACTGAGGACCTCGAGTCTAGTGCTTCTCCTCTTTTGTATGAAATCACCAGCATGATTGTGTAAGGACAAGATGATCATTTTTCAAACAAGAGTCATGTGAGTGCATTCCACAACGCCCCGCAACCACCAACACCTGTAACTAATATGCAGCTGTAATTGGTAGGTCCAAAGACTTACTCATTTGTCGCAAGACGAATGATTTGTCGAGCGGAAATTCCATTCTGAGGTTTGGCCACAGCATCCAGATCTTCTGACTCAACAGTTGGAGTCGATGCACTTCAAAATGCTTGTGATAGACTGGCACTAAGTCCTCCTCATATCCTTTTTATTTTTCTTCAATTCAGGTCTTCAAATATAATTAACTTAACTTTTTGGTTGTGCGGCAGTAAAGCACCGTTGTGGACACCGATTTTTCTGTCTGATTATGGTGGTGCCCGTGACATGGGGGCCTGCTTCCGTCACCCTTCGGACTTTATACGTTCGGTTCAGGTTCATGGTCTTTGCAACCTGCAGCGTAAGGAAAGTATCAAGAAATGCTTTCAACTGTAACCCGTCTTCGTTATGCACCTCAGTCGAATTTTTTTGCATTTATTTTTATTTATTTATTCGGTGTTTCAGATTGCAACCTCACTTGGGCATGTCCATATCCTCTCCCTGGATCCCATCCTATGGTCTGCTAGTTTGCCCCACCGCACTCAGATAATATACCCTCCAGATGCCAGTCTCATCGTTGGTGGCCTGGACCTTGTTCCTGGTTGCCGAGTTCTTGAGTCAGGTACCGGAAGCGGATCTCTGACGCATTTTCTTGCTCAAGCTGTCTGGCCTACGGGCAGCGTTGTCACGTTCGACTTTCATGCCGGTCGTGTGGAGTGTGCTCGGGATGAATTCAAGGTTAGATGCTTTTTTTGAGACCGGCCACTGCCACCCATAAGGCAGAATGGAATTTTGTCATCCAAACTAAAAATTCTTTGCGCGAGCGGTTTTCAACAACCATATAAACAGTGAGTGATGTCTGTAAGAATATCTTAGTTTAAAGTGTGTTTTTACAGTAGACCATGTTGGTCTACAGCTGATCATCGGGGACCATAAACCGCAAAACACCAGTCTGTTGGCTGTTGGGTTACGGTGAATGGTGCCATATTTTTTCCTCGTGGTCTAGTGCAAGCGGGAAAAGATCAATTTGCGGAATAGCGGAAATATCAACCAAGTGGAACGAGGTATACAACTGCCTGCCTAGACTTTTCTCCCACCTACTGTCACCTACTGTCTACAATCTGCTGAAATGTGGAGGCCTTGAAGCCAAAAATGTAGGTTCCCTGCATACCGGATGATCGTTATTTCAGGACGGAACATCAGGTAAATGAATCCGGAACGACCGTGAAAGATGCTCGTACGATTTGGTGAAGCGGCTGAAAATAAGCTCAGTCGGAAAATTCTCATGACGGAAGTTTCATAAATGCAACTAGCCACCATTTCCTGTTTCTACCCTCCATAGCGTCCCTGTGTTTCTATACAACGCTGAAGAAACCTTTCAGCTCCGTCTTCGTCCCGATGAAGGTATGACGAACCGATATATCAAGGAATCATATGACGTCAAGGAGTCTTGTGGGTGTCTGCGAGCGAACTAATCGATTCCTTGAAGGCGTGGTTAAGAGTTTGAAGAAGTGCTGAGGAGGCATTTTGTCTTTCACCCTGGAAAGACTCGAACTTTGGCGTACACTTTCCTGCTTAGCTTTTCTTCAGACTTTTTCAGCCTGAATTTTATTGTGTAGTTGATGCGGCGGTTCGTAAACGTTATCATGACACTTGCATAGTAACCCCCGTAGATTTTCTCTTTTCGTACCAGCTTGTTTGACCGAAACTGACCCCCTACGCCTCCTACTTAACCAGATATTAATAAAAGTAACTACGTGAGTATGTGAATACGTGTGGTGCAGTGGATGTTTTTATGCATTATTCCCCCTTGCGCTAACCAGGTGCTGGCTGCATTTCGATCGCTTTTTACCGTAATTTCCGTATCTATTTCATCTTGCTCTTGCAGAATCACGGTCTGTGTGACTGCATCAAAGTGATACATAGGGACGTCTGTACTGAAGGGTTCCCACCTTTTGGTCATCAGGACAACCTCGCGGGCGTGAATGCTGTCATGCTTGATCTTCCTCAGCCATGGCTTGTTGTCCCCAGCCTACCGGCAGTATTTCAACCGGACTCAGGTTAGTAGACATTCAGCCACCCACTGGCCTTTTTTGTGGTAGCCTTGCATGACTTAAGAATGGCAGGCGGGATCAAACCTTGTGTCAGTGAATTTATTGCCGTCGGGAAAATGAGGAGAACACGGACATAATCAGGCATAGTGTGCATGGGTTACTTGTGAACGAAGCTTAATATTTTGCAAGCATTTCAATAGAGGAGAATGTCGGTAGCTCAGGTAGCGTAGATGGTCGTTGGCTTGTTCGCTGAGCTGGGCTAAGATGGTCGTTGATTGTGCCACAACCACTAACCCACCGCTACACACCACTACACTCCCGAATAACGCACTGATGTTATCACCTCGATTGGTGATGAAACGTTTGCAACCAAACTGCCCAGCTCAGCGAACAAGCCAACGACCAAGCATTTCAATCTTCTGGTGTCTATTTGCCATCAACGTTCACTCAGTAATAGTTCGACCTGACTGTTGGCTTTATTTTGATGCAATAAAACGAAGACTTCCATCAGAGTGTATTTCCAGTTTATTCTCTTCATTCGCAGAGTCATTAAGATATTGAATACATGCATATGCTAGGGTTGCTTCGCTCCGACCATATACGTGTACTACCGTATTTCCGACTTTCTTTTATGTTTGGCAGCATTCCTTTTCATAGTGAATTTGCGTAACTCCACTAAGTTGGTAGGAATCTTATTGGCAGGTAGAACACACTGGTTTCCCTAATAGGGTTAGTTTGCCAGTTCCAGTCAGAGTGGCTCTTCCGCGTGAAGGTGTAGCGAGCCTTGTTGGCCAAATGTGAAGTAAGCTGTGTTGTAGGGCTTCTCCTGTCTAAAGGTTCTATGAAGCGCCCTTTCGTATGCCTGGCTCGTTAGCATGCCGTAAGATTATCTTTTGGGAATGTTCCAGGTAGAACCCTCCATTCTGTTAATCTAATGAGTGAAATCTCCAGTGAATCACTACCCGCAGTTAATAATGGTCTAAGTCACTGATGATCTACTATGGTTGATTTTCTGGATTAGACGAAAACTATAAACCAATAAGGGACTAAACAGCGTTCTCATAGATACAGTGTCCATCCGTAAATGGATAGAAACTGAACATTTAAAGTGTGACAACTCATGCAGCTTGGTTGCATGAAACACCAATTTCGTGGTAAAAGTGAGTGCTTTCGAGCAGGAAAAATCAGTAGCTAGGGAGACGAGAATCAAATCAAATTAAAAAAGTCATTATGTCTTGGGTATTCGAATCCTTGGCACTGTCAGTCGTCTCAAAGAATCTGCTCTGCAGAGCATCCTTCAACAGTTTCAAAGGTACTACTGAATGGTATGTTGAATCTATCATGGGCGAAACGTGACGAGTGGATCCACCATTTCTATCTGGATTTTGGAGGGTCCATTTGGACGTTAATATCCTATTGTTTTGGTCTGTGGGCATCCAATTCATTCAAACAAACAAGGTTAACCAAGTTAGTGAATATACACTCATTTGCAAACTAATTTGTTTTTTAGAGGAATTCACCTCGACCCAGCTGAATCTCTCGGTTTTGATGTTTCCAGGCAAGGTTCTGTGGGTAAAGTGGGGATATTTTCAAGACACGACTGTTTTCAAGCCAAACATCAGCAGAACCGCAACATTCGTATGTGGCCATTGGCTTGTTCGCTGAGCTGGACAATTCGATTGCAAACGTTTCATCACCAATCGAGGTGATAACATCAGTGCGTTATTCGGGAGTGTAGTGGTGTGTAGCGGTGGGTTAGTGGTTGTGGCACAATCAACGACCATCTACCCTACCTGAGCTACCAACATTTTCCTCCATAGACAACAATCGTATGTATGCGCTCATTCACACAGCTACTTGAATTAAACTAGACAGCTTTTTTTGTTACCATATACTGTATGTTTCAGTGTACATGTCCACCTCATTCGCACATGAACACGATTTGTACTGGTCAATTGACGACAGTCTGAAGACAATTGCTGGCGCTTTATATGTTTTCCTCAGCGAATATATCAAGCACACAAAAACGAGTCAACCACCAGCTGATTTGTTTGCTTTGATGGGTATTGTGAGGATTGTGGTTATTCGCTCTTTCGGAATGAAGACAAACGATCAATGGTCGGGAGTGTATGCGGGATCGAAGACAGCTGATTACTAGACGGCCCTTATACTTACGGACGTTCTGTTAGGGAATCAGGAGTTGGGTCACTTGAGATTTGGTTAGGAAAGTGCATGCGGGCAGTTAGTTATCGATAAAATAAATAACTGAGTTGCTTGACGCCTAGCTTTTTTTCTGCTCGCCTCTAGTCTCTTCAGGGGAAAAGTTCCAGGCGTGTAGGCTCTTGTTGTCTAGGTAATTGTATTCTTCTTCTGTTCCAGGTGGACGTGTTTGTTCATTTTCACCATGCATCGAACAGGTTCAGCGCACATGTGCAGCTTTGCAGAAGGCGGGATTTTCTCAGATTCAGACCAGTGAATGTCTTCAACGGACCTTTGACGTTTCTCGTGCTTTTCTCAATGTCCCCAACATGGGTATGTTCTGACTTTGTTGTATAGCTTTTTGTCCTCCGATTGTTCAACTTTAAACTGATGCAAACTAACGAGTACGATACCGTGTCATACGTTGATCCAGACGATGCAAGTACGGGGCTGGAGAACCTAATGAGCATTGCAAACTTGCCAGGGTGGGATTAGCGGCCACTCCTGACATCGATCGGGGCGAGATGGCTCGAGTGGTTAGAGCGCGAATTTACCAACCGGAAGGTCCGTTGTTCGATCCTGACGTCTGCCTTTCGACTTTCCCTGTCTAGGTTTGGGCAACCTGACAGTATCAGCCCTCGTGATTCCTTTGGGTGGCATGGCGGCTAGGCACCGAAAGGGTGATACAGCTGAATGAATGATCGATCTGTTTATCCGTCGAAGCTGTGACCTACGTATGCAATGGGTCGGGGAAGTTAAACTTGGTGGTCGTCAAGACGGGATAACCAACTTTTCATGGCATCAAGCCGTATCTGTTGCTCAGTCGTCACCACACTCAGGGTTGTTCTGGAAATGCGGATGAGGATAGTTAAATGACTACTGAGGCGGTCTTGATATTTAGGTGACCGAAGAACCGTTGGAACGAATGAGCTAGTAATCTGTTCATTGATTGTTATCGTTCCGAAAATCCGATTCACTGACGCGTTTGGAAAGTGTGAAGTTAAACTTAACTTTGGTGAACTGTGAGGCTTCTGGATGAGCATGTCGTGGGGCAAATTTCTCACAAAAGTCCAAGTTATACTTTAATCTTAACGTCTTACTAGTATGTGTTAGTCTTTGTCTCCCCTTCTGAATTCGGATCATCTGTGGAAGGTTGAGCGAACAGTATTTTCTCCACTCTGTGATACCCGGATGCTGTGTATTTTCATAGTGACCCCTATCTTGTTTTTACAGGGCAAGTTGGCATATGTGAACGGCTCGATAATCAAGCTCTTGTCTCAGGCCCCCCTTCCGAATCCAACGAGCCGTGGTGGACCAAGAGACATCTGCTTCCACCTCCATGTGGGTTGAACCGAAGGCGTATTTTTGGCGCCGTCGAAGAGGATGAACCAACTGAGGACACTGTTTCCGAAGAAACGAGCGCTTCCAAACGTCCGAAATGTACTCGGCCACCACCGGCTCGTCGAGATGAATCACGTTTCTCCTGGGAAGCAGTCCCTCAGGTGGGTCGGGTTACAGATGTAACAATATACCGCTTGCAGCGGACAACTTTCGGTCATTAGGTCAATTTTAATTAAAACGATTCATTGAATCAATGACTTATTGGGGTGTCTTATTGTATCAATTGATTGTCGATTTTCAGATGAAGTCAAACCTGTCGAAGGGGTCTCAACTCTTGTTTATGCAACGCTAACAGAGCTCCACGCCAAATTTGAGCCTCGTCCTGTGAATTTTCCGTGGCCATTTCCGGACGACTGTTCTGGTATCGGTGGGGTTTGCTCTGCGTGAAGATATTCCATTCGCTACATATGTGACAGGATGACTACAGTCTCCTCTCATAGAGATACCTCTGGGATAATGCAGAATGTGTTCAAGATACTAGAAGCACCGCTGAGCGAATCATCAGATCAATCTCAGGCTCATCGATTTGTCCGATTCAACAGATTTTGCGCACCTATTCAGGTTTAGTGCGGTCTGATTAGTCGGTCTCCAATTATCGCTTGTGTTGACGGATACCTGATGGGTGACGGCGCCTGAATGCGAAGCAACTTCCAACCTGATAGGGTTTTTGTTACTCAGTTTGGAGTGTGTCCCGTCCTTTAAGCGAAACACCGTGCATTTATTTCATGCTTATTTGGAATTACCAGCATTGGGCATCTCTCGAACCTCTGTGGAGATTCTACAGTGAATAGAATGTCCAGCCTGGTCGTTGGTTTGTCCGCTCAGCTGGCAATTAGGTTGCAAGCGTTTGGTCACCAATCGAAGTGAAACCATCAGTACGTTGTTACGGAGTTTAGCGATAGACCGGTGGTTGTGCCAACCACTACGCTCTCTAACAATACACTGGCTGTCACCTCAGCGAACAAACTGACAATCATCTACTTTGCCTGAACAACCAACATTCTCGTCGATATACAGCCTGGACCGAATGGAGTGGGATGAGGAGTTTAACGATAAACTTATGAACATTTGATTTTCCAGAGCACTTTACTGAGGTTCACGTGGATGTCTGAAGACTTCCGTGCAGATAAATTTTCACTTACAGACAAATTAGCTTGCAGTGGAGTGTATTTCGACATTTTCTTGAAATTTGGTGTTAAAAGAGAAAGCGCCTATTTTATGATCGCCAAGGAGGACGAAACCGCTATTGGAAGAGCCTTCAGCAGCCGTATGAGCTGTGTGCTGTCAAGAACTCAGTCAACTTGTGGTGCAAAGTTAACAATGACGATTTCGGTGGGATTCTTGGTTCCATTGCAACGCAGCTACATTTGACAGTGGTTCTAAGTGTCAAACAGTATTCTCTAACTCGTCTCTCCGTACTTAGTCTACCAATTCGCCCACGGCTACGCAGATGCACGTCTTCAGAACACGCGGCCGTAAACATTCCAAATGCTATCAGGCCACAAATCATCACCTCGGAAGTCGACTCGCAGTCGTGAATTATCAACAGCCAACCGACAGTTTCGATACAAGTTATCGAATCCTAAGCTTTTGACCATAAATGAAGTTGTGCTACGTGCAAACGATTTCGTTCGCCAGACATTGATCCGGTGGCTCTGTGAAATCAACCATAAGTGATTTCCGTGCTTTATTATTACGTCTGCGCCCAAAAACAACAAAAGAAATGTTGGCAGGACCCCGGCTTACCGATCCACTATAGTGAGCAAATCCATAGTACAATGAAAGCTCTCGGTTCATTCAATTTGTGTGCAGATTCGACAGTTCCTCAGGCCTTTTTCTCAGACGGAAGTGCACAGTGTTGCAGTAAATGGTATTTGGTATCACTGTTTTCTTTTGCATTACCATGCTCTCAGCTGACCAGCAATGACAATATTACGATTTGTTCTGAACGCATGTGGGTGAATTCGCTATGGCTTATGAAGGCTGTCTGTTCTATCCATCTCTGTGCCGTGAAACGTGACTTCTCCGTTTGGCCGACGAATCATTCATGGTCGCTAGGCTTGTCCAGCTTCCATGCTTTGTAGTCTGCTATAATCGGGATTTTGAGGAATCAGTCTGATTTTCATCTGATTACCGTTTCTTCGTGGTATTGTCCATTGGTTCTTTGGGAGCAGTTGCTAGAATAGCCCCCAAAACACTTCTATGTGAGAAGAGACCATTCTCGAGGATTCTCCGTGCAACACGATCAAGTGCAAAGGAGGTCAACTATATACTTCCCCTGAAGTGTACCTATGGTTGAATGTGGTGTTTTTTACTATGTTTTTGTCCACCACTTATCTCCGTGAGTAGCTTCATAGTGCCTTTTGTTTTCCTTTCTCATTACAGGCTATGATGGCTGGTCACACCGGCTATTTAACCTTTGCCTCTTGGATTCCAAGAACTGGTCCTTCCGGCGATGCTGCATCGGAACTGAAGCATCAACCAATAAGCACGCCACCAGTAACATCTACTGTGTAGTACCCCTACGCTTTCGTGCATACATACAATTGTACAGCAATATCGACCTTCGACACCTTGTTCAGAGTGGGGTTACCAACCTGTTGCACTGTACCCATGTTTGTTACCTACTCGTGCCCGGAAGATACTGTTTTAGCTGCGATGGTGTTCGTTGTAATGTTTCTCGAGAAATGTACCAGTAATTTGATGTTTGAATCCTCTAAAGTGTTGTAATGCGCGAACACGACAGATCACCTTGCTGGAGGCTTCTCCCATTATAGGTTACACTGATCACTTATGTGAGGTCAAATGCTTTAGATGGACTACTCATGGCATCAACCCACTTGATAAAGTTTTGGTATAAACTATCAGCCAAAAGCAGCGCTTCTAAAATTTGTCTGTTGTGGTCTCGACAAGATGGACTGGGGAGTTGCGCCGAATTAATCCTAGACTGAATGGACGTCACTCTAGGTCGTGTAGCACTGGACAAAGTGCACGTTTCTAACTTGACATGTAAACCAGGGAATACTTCTCCCATGCCTCCCCAACTGTACTGACTAGTGCACTCACAAGCTGTTCGAAGATTCGATGCAGTGAACAAGCCGTCGTTTATATTCACATCACTCCTGTTTGAACAGTCCTTATCGCGAAGTCATTCAGGTCACTCCATACGAAATAGAGGGAAGCAGTAAACTCGTGTTTCACTCTTATCACAGCCCATTAGCGGTTCCTAGGATTGATCGTATAGGGACTTGGGTCCCAGACATCTGATATGTCATGCGGGCATTTTGGTACTGCTGAACTAGAGTACCCTGGACGTAGGCGAATTACTGTCTCAACGAGAGAGTGTGTTCATATTTGACCGGCGTGGGTGGATTGCCTAACGCCTCGCATCCCTCCAGCTTGTCGTAGCAGTCAGTATGATGCAGACGGCAAGAGAAAACTAATGTGATTCCAGAATAGGTGAGAGGCAGGGAGAAATCTCGTTACATCTGACGGTATCGATCCGGACTCAGTCAGCGGCACGAGAGTATGATAAAACTCGTTATCTGCGTACATGGATGCGCCTGTGGCGTGGATCATTACGCGATCCAAGTAACCATGGGAATCTACTGCGGTTTTCAGTTTGTTTCCGTTGGTATATCGGTGCGCGGTGCGACAGCGTAATTTATGCGGTGTACTTCAGTGCGACAAAACAATTGGAACCATTATCACATTAATCGACTGGTCGGTTTTATTGCTAGTGCGTGCTACTCACACTCGCTCGACAGTCTCAGCAGCGTGTTGAACTGCATACCAGTTTGCTGAAGTTCAGAATGTGCTGTCTGGCAGGTCCCCACATATTAGAGCATATAAAGCGTACGATTTGTTAGTCCTTGTGCAGATTTTGGAAGGTTGGTTTCCAATCAGCTCTCGTATTTCGGATTGCTCTGGAAAAATGCCATGACCAAACGATTTTCTGGAAACTCACCAAGGTGCAACTTGCCTACCTTCATGTGGCACTGCTCAATCGATGTACGTACTTCATTTAGAGAATAATCAAAAGCACCTGAGAAGTTTGGATATTCTCTCTCACCACACACTTCTTTACGCTTAAAGTAAACATAAACTCACACCCGAAGCTGAGTCAACTGTAAGACGACTACCTGAATATTCTTGACCGCAGACTATACTTAAGTAGTGAAACCTCTAAAGCCACAACTTTCCAATCTGGACTGTTTGTAGCGTGTGTACGATGCTGCGTGTAGACAATCTTGTGAAAAAAGTTGTACTAACACGACCGGATGCAATCAGTGCTGACTACAATATGTATACTGAACAGATGAAAGTGAGCAAGGATCAAAGATACCAAAGTTTTGCAGTATCTGCAATCTTAGTTTGGTCCTTGTGACAACCGGACTCTGAAAATGGGTGGGTGAAAACACAGTCGATGGGTTACGGTCAATCCTATTCAAACTAGCGGTGAGCTTGCAATTTTAAAGTGCGGGCAACCGTGAATGTTGTTGTAACCTAAATCGGCGTTGTTAGCCATGCATTTTTAGACCAGCGGTCGAAAAACCCGCGCCAAAACAACTACAAGTTCAAAGCAGGCGTCGAAGTTTGCCGGTGTCGTGGTCTGATTGCGCGAAAAACTGTGCTCTGTCATCGCTATTGCGTCCAAATTTATCGACGATTCAGTTTAGGCAGGAAGTTGAAAATCTGCTGGGGATGGCTGGTCCCAAGTAGAGGGTTGCTGAGTTGTTAGTGCACCGGCTACCCAGTCGGTGCGATGAAGAGGCGGTTTACCGCACCGAATTTTGCTAGTTTGTCTGAGTCTACGGAGCACCGATATATATTGGCAGTGTAATATTGTTCGTTGTATTGCTCAAGGGTACATATGCTCTGTGGTTTTGACCGGAATGACAATAACTCCGAGTACATGCTACTTGATTTTCTCCAGTAGTTTAGAGCAAAATGGCTTTGGAGCACAGATCGCGGCCTATATCGCCACATGTGTACACGAATTTACCAAAGAAATACCTGCACTATTCTTTTCACTGGCCTTCGTGTAGATTTATATTTATACAGTACCTGCAGAGACAGGAAGGGGCGTTGCGTCTGCAACAAGACTAAACCTAATAACTGTCCGGGTCCGGCTCGAAGCCTGTTGACCGATCATCTCAGTATTTCAGTGTATGACAACGCAAGCCAGCATCATCCAGTCAACAAGCGTCAATTATTTCAAACAGTAATGTAGGCAAACAATCGCTGAAAAACAACGACTGCTTAACACAAACTACTAAAGCAGCAATCCAAAGTCGAACAAATCGCAGTCAAGCGGATTCGAGCAGTAAATATATCCAGGGTGATGGTTTGAGCACGAATTAAAAAGCAGCGATCTCGTTTAACAAAATGTGAGTTTCTAAGATCCAACAGAAGCCTTTTGTCCAACAAAATACAGGATCACGATACTTGCGATACAACCTACTTAGATTTGCTCATCACAGGAATTAGAGGTTTCCATCGTTCTACTGTTAAGGAGCTTGTTGGTGCCTCGGTTCGCATAGCTTGATCCTTGCGTCAATCGTTGCTACGACAAAGGGAGGTGTAACGTGAGTTTTCGAGAAGTAAACAATAGCATTGTAGCATGAAACACCAACTACATGGTCTTCAAGCCAACATTCCATCCGTAGGGCCCATTACTACCTATCAGGCATTTGTTTCACAGTTATCAGCATGCGCATGATGAAATGCTCTGCTAAGAGTCGGCGTCGTTAAAAGTGTAAGTGGAACGTATCAGGCTATGATAACCTGGATAACTAACGCGCATGCCAACGATTCATTTGCCAAGGATAATCCTTTCTTAAATCTGTTGACAGCAGCCAGATTATGACATGAAGGCGAGGAACGAAACCGTCACTACGGAGGCCACCGAATATTTCTTTTAGCAATGGATAATCCATCAAACTGCTGTCTTTCGGGCCGCACCAATTGTTAGTACCATGTCAGTAGGCTGAGCAAACGCCCAGAAAGCGTGGGCACAGGTTCCATATAGGAACACTATCCCTCATTTGGCGTTATATGTACGTTGGTCCATATTCTCCGTTTCTTCTACATTGAATATTCATGTATGTGGAAACGGCTCAAACCCGGTCGCCACTATGCACTAGAGGGAGATCAAAGTTAATTCGAAGACGTTAGTGAAAGCTTTCGTTGAGCTGCATCACAATAATGGATTTCATCATTATTACCAGTTAATTGTGTGCATTGGATTCACTTTACAAAATGTCAGACGAAACAATAAAGCAGAAAACCAGACATTCCATTATTAGCATAGTCGGGAAGAAGAGATCAAAGTTTGTTCCTGAAAATGGGATCTTTTTGTACATACATACTCGGTGATGGTAACTTTGAAGAAGTCATCCGAGGGACTTAGTCAACGATCACATGGGTTAGCAGTTACAGAGTCACGCAAAACCTGCATCGGTCCTCGGGGATTGGGCTGACTTCCCGTGCTTATTTTCGTGCTCTTTAGCCATAAATATCGTGGTTGATCATGTGACGTAAGGAGGAGCTGAGGAGTCCTACAGGAAGATGGTGTGAAGGGTGTTTGTTTAACTAGTGACATATCAGATAAATGTAAGCAAGCAAAAAGCCGAGGCAAAGAAGCAGGCAGCCAGGAAGCAGTAGTGTTAATCATCCGTTGAGGATCAATGAGCGCATGCTCAGGGAAAAAAGTCACAGACTAGAACTGAACTGAATGAACCGGGGATGGGTGAGGAGGTTAAAAGTGCGAAAGTAAGGAAATGCCACCGAAAGAATGCGATGTGTTTGGGACTTCACACTTGTGTGCGTAGTGTGAGAGGGAATTCGGACGCTGAAAACATAATCAAGAAACGCATGTTACCAGATCATCCTTGTCTGTAATGCAACCAATTCTACGAGAATAGCCTAATCATCCTTTTTTGCGTACGCGTGTTTCGAACAGGATATTTTACTCGTCAATACACACGCTGATAAAAAAATCAAACCTAACATGAATGCGGAGGACTGCGAGTCAGGGATATATGAAAGATCATGATTCAATTGCAAGGAACTGCACCGAGAACCCTGCTAAGAGACAGTCTCACAGGTGATAGCTTTGTTTGGGTAAGGTTCTAGAGTTTCAAATCTGCTGCGAGCTTTTTGGCTATTTGTTTGAATGCACTCATTGACCCGTTGATACGCTTAAAGCGAATCCCATTCATCCCAACTCCAGCCAACTTTCCGATTTCCATCTCCCAATGCACAATCCCACCATCTACTCCAGAGTCTAGTAATTCCGAAGGCGACGGTGACCTGTTCGTAACGACAGCCTTGGGGTTCCTCAAGGATGGAATTTGGCATCCATGGGAAGGATCACCATAAACGCACTGCAGCTTGTGCTCCCCAACAACTTCGTAGTCAACGCCATGGTTCGTTAGCGAGCGTTGTACCTCAATCAAAACCTCATCCAAAGGCCAGCGGGCAAACGGTCGGAGTACATATCTCATACTTCGATGCGATTTACTGTTAAATGTGCGAGTGCTTTCTGGTTCGGTCTTACTAACCGAAGATGGGGATTTCCTTCGACTATCAACATGACTTCCCTGCTTTGACCGTGTGCTGGTTCGTAGTGCAGAGCGCGACGGGGTCCGGTCTTCATCGTTGTCATCGGGTTCGCTGTCTTTAGACAAGATTGGACGTTGAACAGATCGCGAACGATTATCTTTGGAAATCGAACTCCGAGTGCTGGTTCGTCGCGTTATGGTAGCACGATCCTCCTCTGTAGGGCTCAGTCGCCTCTCATAGTGTTCTGCTTGGTCAATTCTTCGGCTAGGACGACGGTCCTCGTCCAGAGCGTCGGCTAGCGTATGTCTGGTAGCAACTTGTGATATCGGTCTGTGGGGTGTGACGCCACTGCGGCTTCGAGGGATGCGATTCAAGGTTGGTTTCAAAGAGGAATCTGGTGACGGACTACCACGAGCGACAACAACTTTATCCAACTCCATCGTGGGAGCAACCATTGGGTCGAGTCGATGGTGACGCGGTTCCGGATGTGCGATTTCCTGGTCAACGAAGGCTGCGTTGGCCTGCATGATGGTTGATCTCCGGAAAAGTTTGCTAAAACAAAAAAAAACCGCAAGTAACTTGAGGGAGTTGGCTAGCTTGAAGTCATCAATGTAGTATGAAGAAACAAACACCGGTATCTTACAGCATTCTTGAATGATGCAAATATATGGATGATGATTATTTTGTGATTTCCAACGGTGCTGTTACCTATCTGCCAATCAGCTACAAGCTCATCGATTTAGTTCGTTTGCGAACAGCGGAGTTAAAAAGCAGAGAAGTTGTGGACCATTCGGGTCGTGAGCCTGATCAAGTACCCGTCATTTATCAATACTTACTCAATGATTATTGCTAGGCGACAAATGAGACGGAGATCGCCAACCATCAGATTTCTAAGAATGGACAGTGATCTATCCGACCGTTGACGTCCACACTTGTATCCCGAATACTACTATGGTTAAGGAGCGGAGGCCACAATTTCTGCTTTAAAATGACTGCATCTGAAAGAACACCCCATTTGGTGGACAAAACCTGATAGATGCTGATTCTCTAGGTGAGAACAGAAATGCTACAGTTGGGCCATTAAACAATCTCGCACCTGCTGGCCCTCACAACCTCGCTGCTAACGGGGCTTGGTTGGCTATGGGATCTGTGGAATTAGCATTCGAACACACCTGAAAAGTTATCCTCCTGTCAAGTTGCAAATATTCTAATAAATCCGCAACAAAGAGAGGAAGGGAGAGCACTTGGCTCGAGTCTTGCTATTGTCATATACAATTCAATTTTCCCGTTAGAGCTCATCTCTGTTGGCTGCGATTTGAAGCTCGAACGTCTGAAATGCGAGGCGGGTGAGTTACCACGGCGCTACCAACCGAAGCGATATGACCCAGTAACTGTCCGGCTGCGTTGATCGATTGATTCGCCTGTCAACACTTTCTAGTCAGGCTTAGTTCCAGGAGGTTTGGGGGGTTCACGTTAGTTACATTCACACTCGCACATTTACATTCGCACATACACCCACCCTCGCTTGAACAGCCTTCCTCTTATTCTAGTGTTCTGGTAAGCCCACGGTGTCACATGTCTGGAGTTCGAACCCCGGCATTTAGATTAACCTTAACAAGAGCGAAGCTCAAGGCAAGCCCCTCTTCCCAGTGAGGTGGATTCATTGGAATGACTAAGCCAGGAAAGGAGGATGATAGTCCAGACGACGGATATGAATGTAAACAGAAATTTACTTTACCGACCTCTTCCTAAGGACAAAGATAAAACCACTCACCTTCTTGATATACGCGTTGTCAGCGTACGAAAAAAATTGTTGAAACCTCCATTGACTTGACTGTCGCGGTTCGCTGGTGGGCGCATCGACAAGTTCCGACTAAAACCCTGAACCGGCGAGCCAAGAGTGTTACGTTGCCTCCCGGTGACTGAAGTTCCTCGGGTTAAGTAGTCCAAGGGTGGAGAATCCTCAGTGCGTCCTTGATCCAATGCACCGTCATTGTGGCCTAGGGTAGAAATTGAGGAAGTCACGGAGGAAATAGATAAATCATCGGGACTGATCGGTCTGGGAGTAGCCGTATCGCGACTGTCTGATCGAAGCGAAGGAGAATGTGGACGCGCTGTCATAGATTGAGTGGCAATACTGTGTGTCCCCGCATGTCGAACCAAACGTGGCCCACCGGACGAACCTTCCAAACGCTCCCTTGCGCGACCTGTGGGAACATGCTGTATCGTTGAACGCTCTGGCAGGTTTCGGCTGAACGGTACCGTATATATGTCCCTAGCGACAGATGTCCCGATTGGTGTAGGCGTGACTGTCCCGTTGGCTCGGCCGGACTCACCAGTCCAAAGAGAACCGCTCGGTGGTTCGACTGGACGAGAGAATGGGTGATTGTTGGGGTCCAAGGATCCATCTTTTCCCATTGCAATCGTTGTAGTGGTAGTCGATGATGGAAGTCTGTGGAGCAACAGGGAAAAGACGGATGTTTTTCGTATCGGAATTGATATCGATTTAAAGCTTTGCCATACACTGAGGTTATCCTGGGAGATGGAAGTTGTTAGAGACGTGCGGCAGGACCTTAAGCAACTTTCTGGGAGCTACCACAGCGCATGTTTTCATGCAGAAGAACCCAGCAGGATGGTTTTCAAACTGTCCGCCATTAGGTTCTTTCCCCCAGTCGACTTTGTCGACAGCCATTCTAGCGGACCCTACTCGCATAATAGTATTGTATATAAAACCTAATAAAGTTTACGTTATTCGCATGTCGTCCCCGAGTGTTTTGCACAAACATGCAAACTTACTCGTCCCTACTACTTGGTTGGTTGGTTAGAACGGTACCCGATGCCCTATAAAGAGTTCCTCCAGCTGTTTGCCAGTGAGATTCGCCGCCAATGCGCTTTTGTTAATAATGAAGATTAGAGTTGGGCGCTCGCTCATAACCCCTTAAGCGCTACGTTTGGCTTCATAGCCTAAGAGGTGGACAGAAACTACGCAGCCATTAGATCAGTGGTCCGTGATTGCACCGATATTCTTGGAGGCCTTGATCGAGATCGTTTGTTGCAGGAACGACCTCCAGCATATTGAGTGGTTATTTCTCTGGGTATAGGGTACTCACCACTTAGATGTGACACCCGCTTCCTACCAACTTCAACGTTTTTATTGAGTTATTGTATCCCTTTACTCGTTATCAGGAAGGTCAGATTCCTGAAGGCAACCACTGAATGCCCGAAATTTGCTGAGACCCTCAGCTCCGTTAGATGCTGACCAAATAGACAACGCCCCTTCAATATGCAGCGAGTCACAGTCTTGTATCAAACCCAGACAGCGCGGGTCAAGGTCAGACAACGCCCCCGCAATATTCAGCGCGTCGCAGCCTCGTACCAAAGCCAGACCGTGTGAGTCACCGCTGGACCAAGTTAGACATTGTCCCTCCAATATATAGCATGAGACCGTTGTATTTTTGCAGTCACACACACGCTCTCACACTCGCCTGCCCGGAACATAGCTGTCGTCTCACGCTCTCGCACTCGCCTGCCCGGAACATAGCTGTCGTGTTCTCTTCTGTGAGTCTTTTTTCCGGTACTAGGCACTGGAGCGGGGTCAGAAGTTAGATACAAGGGAGTGGCGAATCATCAGATGTAACACTCGTTATCTATAGGTGCAAGATATCTTTTGTCTTTCCTTTCAATGAGTTTCAAGTATACCAACTTGGTTGACTGCCCGTTTCTTCATTTTCCAGCCTTTTCCAGCACCTAGGCAACAACAACCGGATCAGGATTTCCACGATTTCGGCTCGCTTGTTTCTACATGACGATCTTTAAAGGGCTACAATCAGATGACCCTCGAACCTTTTTGAACGCCAAACATAGACGTCGCTTTATCTCCCAACATTTAGTGGTCCAAATAAAAAAACTAAATAATTCTGCCGTACGGTTCGAAGTAAGATTCGCGACTGCAAGGTTCTACTGCCAAGCCGAGTGACAGCAAACCCAAACCTCATGTTGGGAGTAAGCAGAACGATTTGGTTGGATAAGTTCGTCTAAATGAGGCGCTGTATAAGTTTCGGTGGACTGGAGGAAGATGAAATTACTTCCAAAAGCTGGAAAACCAGGACACTGTTTACCAAAATGATATCAACTTGATTGTCGTAGGCGGGCTGCTGGTTCGGTGAAATTAGAAAAAAGACATGGTGGTTAAATGCGAATCTTTGGTGACCCCAACCGCGGAGTCTTCCAAAAATCTCGCGGATCTGATGGGAATATTGGACAAGTAGCACTGTGGTTTTCTGGAGACCGACTACAGGTCGAGCTGGTTAGGTCATGTACTTCATATGTCCAAGTATGGTGTATCTTTTTATCCATTAAGGTTGAGGGTTGTGCCAACAGCGGATCAACTTAACTCTAGATTTTCTGCATGCACATTTCCTCGCTTGCAATCGCATTTGCCGCTTTGCTTGGCCTCGACGAGATCTTCCGAATTATTACGTCAGCAAAGAGGTTTGACCAGTACCAGCCCTCTGTAATTCATCCTTTCTTCACACTTTGTAGCCTGAAACACGCCCACTCGGAATGTATTTCTACCTACAATTTTTTATTAATCTACTATAAATACCAAATATTGATGCGTCCACAGAGTTTAGGCAATTTTTTTGCGTAAACAACTGGTCATGGCAACTCCACGGCACCTTATTTAGTGCGCATGCGTATGAATCGCAACGTTCTGATACGCACCCTGAAATGCGTCACTCCATTTTTAGTTTCTGGTGCACTAGTTAATTTTGCTTTTCGCCGTCTAATCTCAGTTCGTGTGACGAGCGTCAAAAAATCATCACGTGGTGGTGCATGAAACCCAAATTCAACTGTAACACAAACACGGTCGAAAGGAATCCCGAATAATCTGGACAACGGAAAGGCACAGTGATTTCACGGACCACAAAGATCCATTGAAAGGTAATCTGCAACGTACTAAGCACATGGAGCAGGTGAATAATGTAGTAAGGAAAACTGTGATTTTTATCTCCCCCTACCTATCAGTCCATACAAATGCGCTACTCCCTCGGAATAGATCGCACAAAGGGATCAACCCAAGGTGAGCTCTTCGGGAAGAGAGAAAAAGTGTTTCAGGGAGCAGCTAGAATTGGGCCTCTGAGACCCCTCAGAGGTGTTCTTCAATGAATGAACTCCCAAGAAGACAACAACCATGAACGAATCGCTTTGTATATAGGAACAACGGATAACCTACCTCAAAGAATGATAGGCGTAGGACATCCGATTTGGTGGGTTTGTAACACAGTTTGTGGCCAATGGAGGGGGCGGGGGAGCCGTGGGTCGGCGAATAGCACCGGATAATGTATTGTTGCTGTTACTGTTGGCGGATGGACTAAGGGCTCTGCTAGCAGGAGTTGGCGTCAACGGCGCACGACTGGTATGTGGAGGGACAGCAGGTGGACTTGGTTTGGATGTATTGTCCGCGGCCACGCGAAACGGATTCGTTTCGCTGTAAGGTCAAAAAATTGCAAGCGTTTGAAGTCATCAAGCAAAAACGCCGACGATCGGCATGGACTCAGTATTCTGTCCAGAGAAGTAAGTGATCTGAACGAGGAGTAGCGTTCTGTTCTCTACCACAAACCGATGGGAGAATAACTGTGATCCTGGAACTTGGATCCACCAAATGAATAAGATCAAAATTTTGATGGGTGATGAGTCCTTAAAGCCAGAAATGGTGCTAGCAACACGCTCGAACCATGGTGTCTAAGTTGTCACTCTTGTCGTCTAATGTTCCGTAACCATGACGACCGGAATCAGGCCGAACGATCAGATGATACAGTTTAAAAATAATTGACCAACACAGCCGTCACGTTACAGCATCAGTCAGTGAGCGATTACGAGAGGTTAGCTATATTCAAAGACTGCATCTACTGGATCATCCGTTCCGTACGCGCAAATGTATCCTTTTGGAAAATGGTTCTATTCTACTCCGTCCGTGGCTAGTGGCCAGGATAGCGATACGGGCGTTGCCATAGAAACACTTGTCGTCACTTTCAAAATCACCAGCCGAAAGCTGGAGAGCAAGTAGCTTGCTCATTTGGTTGATGAACGGACGACAGAAGACACGAAAGAAGGAACACCGATTTACCAGTAGGTGGTTTCCCGGCTGACCGACATCCACAAGACCGGATACAAAAAGTAACCACAATGCACTGTAACTAAATTCTTCTCAATACAACCATGTGACGGGCAGCAAAGCCGCTCGTACCCTCGAATAACAATCAGGTCTCTGGTACGATCGAAATTCGAGCCCCGTGAAAAAATCCATGCCTGATCACCGAACACAGCACAGTTGTTTCATCCTTGTTTGGATTTGTACCGCGCAAATTTCGAAGCAGATTTGAACCTATCACCTTCTAGACAGGGTTTGGAATGCTACCATTCATCTACCTACATGCGCAGCACTAAAAATAATCCCTTAGCCACAAACGTAAACACACAACAGTCCACGCCATGTGTCTCACGGTGACTGGCTTTAGTCACCGCAACGTACACTGAGCCTTCCATTTGCATGGCAGGAAGCAAACTTTTGTTGATTACTGGTTTAGCGTTGACCGAAAAATACCAACGGAATGCACGGTCAAAGGTCTGTCGACGGGAATTCGGACGAGGGCGGGTGGGGGTCAGCACCAGTGTAGCATGTAGCTTTAATCCCTATTTTTCGTGAGCAGTAGCATGTTGAGGGCTTGAGAAGAATGACCTATATCACTTCTCGCACAGATGTGTCGCCCGAGTGATGACCCCCCGTTATGTCATTGATACTGAGCTGTTATCTACCAGCTACAGGGACCGCAGCAACGTTTTTCGTGCATCTCCAAAAATCCAGAGAGAGGCAACGCGACCGCAGTGCTATCAACCTGGGACAAAAACCAAAATCCGACCTAAATCGCACCTTTCAGTTATATACAGCCACTGCAACCAGGGAGTTGCTTCAAAAATTAATCCTGACCACTCTGCCACGCATTTCTTTTATCAGTTAATTTGCAGTTGAAGTGAAACACACATAGGTACAACAGAGCGGTGGCTTTCTCTGCTGACTTTTGGTTACTTGCCAGAAAAGTTGATCAGGACAACACATTTGGTAGACAACAGCTGAGTTACCAGTGGTGCGACATATCTGTGAAATAGGTGATGTGGTTGATTCCTCTCGATCCTTCAAGATTCCACTGCTCAAACAAAACTCAGAGCTGTGAGCCTTTTATGAAGCAACGTCTATTGGAGTGTACTGTGCTCCATTTTTTTATAGGGCGGTGCTTACTCCTTCCCACCTGCCTTCGGCTTTTGTCATAAGGCCTTAGGTGATATTACATGATCATGCAGTCTTTGTTATGCAGCTTTTCACCTACAGAAGTACAGTGCTTTAAGTGTGCAACCGAAGAAAGTAGTTTGTGGTTCTGATGAAAGCCCACAGGGTTGAAAATCGATTCTCTCCTGAACCAACAGCAACCACCATTCGAACACACGACTCGGTTACAAAAAGGAAAAGTAATATTTTCGTGGTTCGAACATGAGTTTCCCGCTTTGCTCCGTTTGCCAGTTGAATTTGTGATATTCGCCCACACTAGGGACAGAAGAATGACAGACTTGTGCGTTCCCAAAAAATACAAGGGTCGGAAATCGGTGTATCGATTCCCACCTAGGTTTCCCTTAGATAGACATTGTCCCGAAATACCAGACCCGACGGTTCCCTGAGATGCAAATGATGTAGGATCAGCTTACTTCACAGACGGATGAAATTGCCTTGACCTTATTGCTGTGTTGTGTGACCATAGCTACACTAGCATCGAGGCCATATGCAATAAGCTACAAAGATTATACGATGAACAAATACATCGGTTGCGATTGATCCATGTAGCTATCGTATTGTTTACTATCAGCTCATGTCAGATGAAGTCAGTGCAGTAGCAAACTCAGATTATGTCAAACACCGGAGTGAACCATCATCTGTCTCAATACCAGTACAAAACTAGAAAAAAACAGTAGCCGAAACGAAGAAGTACAGAATAATTCTACATCAAATCAACAAGTTTGCGGGGGCTAAAGCGACCAGGTAGTGCGCACAAGACTGCGGAGTGAATTGGACAACATGAATATAGAACAAGCATACAAGCGACTCTTTAATATGAATTAGACTAAGTAACAGTACAAACTGCTGCTGAAGAGTAACCGTGTAGTCCGTCAGGTTTACATTGGTATGAAGCACCCACTTTCAGCTACGCACCAATCATGTGTGGTTTGATCAACTAGGCACACATGTGTGGATGGGCCATATCAATCATAGTCACAGAATGGCTTAGAGGTTAGAGCGCGAATGTACTGATCGGAGGATCCGTAGTTCGAACCCGAAATCTGCCTCTCGACTTTCCCCGCCTAGCCTGAGCAACCTGGCAGTAGCCAGTCCTCGTGTTTCCTTTGGATGGCATGGCAGATAGGCACCAAAAGGGTGTTACAGCTAAACGATTATCTTTATTTACTATCTTTTTACAATAACCCCCCAATTTGCACTGTGATACAGCACAGTAAAAATTTCGAAAACAGACAGGATTAGGATCCCGTGTGACAACCCCTCTCACACAGTGACTGGTGTGGTAGTTCTTGGGGTAGTTGCATCAAAAAAAGCAGAGTGTAACAAAGGTGGCGTTAACCGAACACAGCTAGCACACTAGGACCAATCGGACAGAGGAAAACTGGTGATCGACACAGCAGTTGACTTCATGGGATGCACTACTAACACTGTATTCCCTAATAGGCGACGTGTGACAGCAAATCCTGATTGACGATGGAAAGTGGCCTCGAAAGAGTGAAACGAGCAAAACAACAGAGTGGCGACGTGTGTGTGTGTGCACGCATGCACGCGCGCGCAGAAGTGCACACAATTGGACTGAGACAACATCGAGGTTGCGAAATAACCTGGGCCGAGCAAAAAGAATTGATGTGACTGTTCCGGCTAATGGAAACAAACGAAACCAACGCTGGGTGCACGTTCCTGATAAGCTTGCAACTAGGATGAACTGGAATGAATTAGCAGGGTGAGGATGTTTGGAAAAAACGCAATGCAGGACACCTTCGAGTCGGCTGTATGTATATAGCTGGGTGACGTGGGTAAGAGGGTTAACGTGAAGGATACTAAACTGTTGATCGATGGCCTCCGCGTTAACGTGTAAAGTACGACAACCAAGGTCACCACTACGATTTTAAGAAGTATTCGTCTCGAAGATTTAAGGTTTGTCCTTATTTGTTTACAACCGGTAGTTTTCAACGAAAACGGATAGACTAGAGTACAACATGATCAAAATATTCACAGGCATGGTTATTACAATTGATTTAGTATGAATTGGATACCCACAATGCTGAGATATCATATGAATGAGGCTGATCACACATTGAGTATCTGTCTTAATCTGGGGGAACTATCATCCATCATAAAGTTTTAGTTAACTACTTTTAAGCCAAACAATGAAAGCAAATCTACACCCATCTCTCGTTTAATACAAGTTCGTTATTCGTCAGAAAGGACAAGACTTCCGTTTTCCGCAAACCTATAGGCTACAAGGCTTCACGGTCGCATGGGCTGAACCAAAATCACTTGAAGAACGATTCAGAGAGACTAAACCGGAGGCTTTTCCCCAAGAGACAACGCGTCAGTTCAGGCCACATACAAATCAGTAGCCGAAATTGCTGACTGCAGGACAGAGCTTTTGTCTCAGTTGTCTTACCTCAACCTGAAATCAAGCTCTTTCAAATAAGAAGCCATTTAGAACCAAGAAGGACAAACAGTGGTGCATGACAATCGCCTTTAAATCGTGTTGTGTTGATGATTGGCCGCAGCTATGTAGTCTGGTATCGTATTAAAGAAACACGCGTAAAGAGACTATCCGTTCTCGTTAAACTGACTAACATGACGGATCCTGTAGACCAGGAAACACAACTCCGCCAGTTGGACCTTAATGGTCGACCAACTAATCTTCAGTTGTATCTCAAGCGCAGATAAAGTTAACGTCTAATTTCTGTGCAACGAGTCCAAAAGAGAACAGAAAAGAGACAATGATAGAAAATCCATTGGGGATGAACACCTGAACAAGTGAATTGGGTCAGTGTAAAGTTGATGGACAGACAAACTCGTGCAGATCAGCGTTCGAGAGCTCTTACTGACGCGATAGCCAGCTCAGTCAAATCGGTCCCTACAGCATCCTGTTGACCGAAATGAGTGGTTGTTCCCTGTACTCCATACCATTTCATAAGTTATTCCATTACAATGTATGTTTTATGTGTACAACGACGGGCTTCGAAAATGACTGTGACTGTGTACGACAGGCACAAGTGTTGGGCTATTTGTCGCTCCATCTTACGACCATCTCTGTCGGGCAAACGGGCATTGTATTTCCGTGGCCGTAATGTTTGGTGAGCACTGTAGTAGATATTTGTTTCAAGGATAAAGAACAGACCACACCATAGACTGTCACCGTTTCTGTGTCCAAGAAGCTGTACCTTGTGAAAGCGGGTACCTAGCTGAGCGGACCTCGGTGATACCAATCATCGCCGGTTGAACGATATCCAACAGAGAGTACAGACGAAAGCAGGTACCACTTTGACTCCCTCTCCGACTGTGCACTGGCATCCAGGACTGAGCTGCTGTTTGTCTGAAACAGACTCCCAGCCAAACGTGATTAGCAGCCCAAACATGAATCAGACTAAATGTAACCAAGTCATTTACAAGTTCGTCAGGTAGGGGACATGATCCAGTGTGTACGGACAAAAAGCCTACACAAACTGACGAGACAAAATTGTTTGCCGAGAGAACAAGGAACGGCTAACCTCAAAATATCTGCTGCATTAGGTGGGCCTCGGAATAAACTTCTGGGTTTAGTTTGGGGTTGAATGTCCTTGCTTGAAACACCATCCTGGCCAGTATGGCTGCCATCACGAATCGCCTCCGTGGTTTCTTTGAACGCACTGGACAAACCAACTGATGGAACCCGGGACCTGGTATTTGGGCTTTCTGGTGCGACCTGTTGTTGGTCGCTACTTGAAGGTCGTGGGACGCGAGCTGATGAGTTACCAGATTTGGCAGATCCGGACACTGAGGATTCGGTTGGTTCTGTTGCGTAAGATCATAAGACACATTTATTTGCGATTTAGACAAAACATATTATTGTTGCATTCTAAACGGAAGATAGAACAAACACGGATTTTCGAAATACACACTAGCACCGCCAGAGTAAGAACTACTGATAAATATGGTGGCCAAAGCTTGGAAATGGAATCAAGTGTGAATCAGACTGTTGCGTCAATGGATACTCAAATAGTTCAGTGATTGAGACACGAGCTAATGACCGGAATGCATGTGATACAAATCCAATCCTCGTTTTTGGATTTCATTTATCGAGAATTGGGCAACCTAGAGATTCGTTCGAGCGTAATGACGGCTACGCACCGGAAATGTTCCACAGAGGAACAGCTTCGTTTTTTCAACAACAGCTGCAGCAGTGGGGGATAAAATACGGTCTGCCTACCTGATGAAGGTGACAAGATGGAAACTTCATTCGTTTCATTTCTACTGCATGTTCAATCGCGGACCGACTACGGTAGACGCTCTATGAAAACCGGGGGAATGGTAGACAGTTTAACCTGGTGGAAAGATAAGTTTCAGTACACCCCAAGAATAAATATCAACTGCGTATTTGGTCCCATGACAGTTTTGCTCTGTGGAAACCCTTCGGACTATCAACCATGGTTTCCACCTTGGCCGACCAATGACGTTAACTACCTATGGACCATGAAAGAATAAATCAAGAAGCCAACTGCTTATTCTCTATGGCAGTCAAACACTTCGTACACATCCTTGCACAAAATATTTCAGACTCCGATCAGCGACATATCGCGGTTGCACGAGCGTTCGGTTGTTCCTCATATGACCACAAAGCAAGCGCAGCCTGGTTGCTCGTCGATAAACAACGGCACAAACCTGTCCCAAAAACCACACAATAAAAACAAGCAAAAAAGCGGATCCAATGCTAACCCACCTGAGGCGCACATAGATTTGAACGCTAAGTCAACCTTGATAAATAGAGATAGCACAAACGCGACTGACATATGTTAGCCGCTAGGTCTTTTTATCAAGAGCATATAAGTTACCAGTAATTAAACCTGGAAGACGATTCACATAAACAGCATCCAGGGTTTTCGTGAGCCTTACGTAATGCGATTCATGATACCCAGCTAATGAGTATGGCACCGCCCTTATACTGATGAAAAATCGAGTATTGAGAGCTGGGAGCAGACCTCTTAAGACAAAATAATACCAATGAAGACAGAAGAATATCTACGAGGACTTATGATTAAAATATGGCTAGAAAGGAATGTCACTGTGCCCGCCTCAAAATAGTGATCCCCTTCGGAGGGTTTCCTTTTGGGGGAATTACTACACGCCGAAAAGTTTGTATGACACCAAAGCATTTGAGAGTTGCACTGTCGACGAGGCCGGAGAAGAAAGTAACATTCAATTTCCTCTCATCCGTCGCGAAAGTAGAACATGTGCACAGTTGAAGTAAAGAGAAACGGCAGAGGAGAAAGGCACAACGGTCTACGTAAGATGATGCGGTGGAACCATCAATCAGTTAGAAATAAGATACAAACCACTACTTCTCTGCTAAAAGTACTGATCTTTGTGTCCTAATTAGGATGGCGTGAGGGAAATCCCGATACCTAGGGACATAGAAGTGACCGTCCATCACATGGCGTACCACCGATGAAGTTGGAGTGCCTGTTTTGTGTGGTCTGCTGGTCACTGTGTACTTGTTATTGAGCCCGTCCCAGTAATACGTTAAGCGTACGCTATGCTGATCGCTCGGTCCTGTCGATAAAGCTGTTACCCAAGTTGCGAGTAAACCAACAGTGAACATGAAAGGCAGATTGGTTAAATAGTGCAATTCTTCTGGTGATTTGAATGAATGTGGGAAAGCTTCGGCCTGAGGTTGGTCGTGTAATCACCTTCAAGCGACCAGAACAGCAGTATGTCTTCGCTGGCTTTCATGTGGAGGGATTCAGCGGACGGCTTAAATTTGTTGCTTGGCGCGATTGGTCTCATGGCATACTTGTTCTCTGTCCTCAGCGGTAAGCCGGCCTACGGCACAGATCTTAATAGTTCAGTGGCATGGTGTTGATCCGCTCGGCGAGCTTGGCAATCGGCTGGCAAACATTTCAACACCAACACAGGCGACATCATTCGTGCCCGGTTGGGTTGGTGGCGTCCTTATGGAAGCTAGTTTAGATGTGTTTGATGAGAACATCTGCGGTACAGCGAACCGATCGGGCGTAAAGAAAGCTAACCCACCAGCGGACTCGTCTGATGACGCGCAAGGCTTGGGAATGGATATCATGGAACTAGTAGGAAAGCAGATCGAACTATTCGCCGGACACAAGAAAATTAGAGGGATCGCGAAAAAGATGTGCCAGAGGGCTCATCAAAGGGTTTGCCTATTTCGGCCAAGAACTGTCATCCAGGACAGAGCTTCGTGGCTGGCCCATTGTAACAACGTCGGTTCGCGTACAAAGGGACTGTTCAAAGTCAAAATGGATTTCTGCGTAACTACTACGACAAACTCTCTGAGGAATTCAACCACAGAAGACGACCTGATATCCCGATAGATAATTGGTCAAAAATCTCACGCAAAGGAACGCTGGTGGACAACGAATTGAGACAACAGCCTGTTAGGTTTGACATAAGAATTCTGGAGTAGACGGTACCCACGACCCATGAAACAGTATAGACGGTAGTACACTAAAAAAAGAATGAAATAAGGGGCGGTAAAAATTCTTCTGACGTAAAATACCCCCCATACACACTGTTGAATTTTCTTCGAACAGACCACTTCCGATCAAACTGTTCAGACGGGCTCTTCAGAGGGGCACAGAAATATTAGCAAGAATATCGATAACGAGACTCAAGAAGGAAGTCATAAACAACCTGGTAAGAGGCGAGATACGTCCGTGCAGATTAAGTAATGTTCACTACATGCAACCTGTCCAGCTTAGTCAAATATGTCATTGTGTTACTAAGGTATCAACTGTTTTCGATAGGGAAAATAAATACACTGCGGGTGCACTGCGCGAATCATAATACCGAACTGAAAGCAGTGGCTGTACTATTAGTAGTTCAGCACCGCCCCCTAAAGATGACTTGTTCCCCTTTTATTAGGAATTTCCATGTATGCGCAGCGAATAGAACGACGTGACTGTTAAACAGAAACATGAGGATCAGTAAAACAAAGGTGGCCTCATACGGCAGTTGCAGTTATAGAACATCACTCACCACTTGTTCGAATGCTGGATTTACGGCGAACAGATGGCATGCTGGAGTGAAGAGGAAAGGATAACAAAAGGTCAGAGAAGATGGAAACCAACAAACCGAAACCGAGATGAACAACAGATGGATCAGCAAGTGATCAGTGGCACCCACCAAGAGTGGATTTTAAGCGGTCCCACAAGGGGGTGTTTTTCGGAGCCGGAAACAACTTATGGTGCAACGAAGAACAGCCACAAGCGAAGCGTCTGTTTATTAATTAGGATCACCGTACGAACTCATTTCCATAAAGTATTCAGATTGAGCAAGTTTTGGAAGGAGCAAGGAACACAGAAACGGCGACGGAAGAGTTTCGCCAACCCTGGTTTGGATAAGAATGAATCAATCTAGGTGGAATTTACTAGAACAGGTATCTAAACATGCAAATAAGCAGTGTGAACAAAAGCAGAAGGGATGCATGGGTGAGTCCAGGTATTCTGTGTTCCTAAGTAGAGTAGGCTTATAGCAATAATGCTTATTTTACGGGGCTAGCCTAGTAAAAACTCAAGAAGGTGATCAAAAAGGTTACCCGGTGGTAGGAAAAACTCCTTGTACATTGGGGCACAGTGTAACCTCATGACATCATTAAAAATGGATCATGTGACAGTTCAGGACAAAAATGTACAGCCACCCTGACTGTATTGGGAAGGTAGAGTCTTCCACAACGATCGAACTTATACTGAATGACACCTTGATTAATACCCACCGACACACGTGATTAGAACCACTTCGTTCTGCCCAATTCCAGTTTTCCCCAGCGTCCACACACACGTAGCAGCCAACAAAGTGTTGTTTGCATCGTTCTAACGTCTCGATATGTGGCACACATGTCGCACACTGTTAGCGCGAATCCATCGTGCCAATTTTACTTCAAAAAAGTGACGGCAATCGAAACAGAAGATTCAGGGTAGATACAGTGACAGATTAAAGACAAACACTGGTAACCGGATCATAATTGAGACTGATCAAATTCATGCCAATGATAGGACGGTCATTCAAGGAAAAGTTGCAAAAACTTACCGGACAAAGTTTGAATCTCGCACGCTGGATTTACCAGTGGTTCCAGGGCCTGTGAAGGGAGAGAAATGTACAAGTCAACAACGGAAGCTAATCAGGCAAGTTAGAGCGGACCGAGTATCGTACAAATGAATGGTTTGGTCACCGGGTGCCGAGGGTTTCGGTTATCAACTTTGGGAGCCTAAAGACCAAGTAACTAAGCTTAATACATTATTAGTTGGCGGTATGAAAAAAGTAAGATGAAAATAGATGATGCAGTTGTACCACCCTTTCAGTGCCTAGCTGCCATGAAGCAAGAAGGCTGAGATGCTACCAAATTGCCCAAGGTTAGAACGGGGCACTCGAGATGCAGAGACCGGGGTCGAACCTTCGACCGTCCAATCAACAAGTTCGCGCCTTGGCCATTGAGTCAACTCGGAAGGTACGAGTGGGTGAGGCAATGTGTACGGGAATACCAACAACCAGCGTAATTAAACACCGTCACGGCAATACTGCATGATAAACTGTTTCTACGGTGAAAGCGTACCGACGAAGTTGCAGATGGTGTACACTGAGCCAACAAATTTGGTGAATGTTCAGAACTAACAAAACAAAACTATCCGGCTGTTCAGAAGGAAACGCAGCAGATAGTCGCTCCTAGACTTTTGTCATATTTGTAATTATGTGTTATGGGAATATCCACCGTATTGTTGAAGCTGGCTGTGTTATACAATGCCTATTATAACCAGCTGTTGTCACCGAATTTGTCATTCGGAATTCTCGCATTCTGAGTAGGTCTTTTACTTTGTTAAACCACTGAGAGTCACATGAATATGTCGTGAAAGTAGGCTGTGACACCTTTTTATGATAATCCCTTAGGAAAATGAGTACGCACATTTTGTCTAGCCAGATATCGATCCTCAGGAAGGGCCTGATAATGGCCGATTCGACCAGATGTTTACGAGAAACGTGGGAGCGATTCCTGAAGATCTCCGTTAAATGCAGACTTCCGCCCTTATCGTAACTAACCAATCAGACGCTGATGAGGTTGCCTATCAGTCTGCGTTTGCTATCGACGACTGAAATTGCAAGTCCATAGCTTGAAAATTATCAGGCCCACTTCGAAGAGAGACAGGCTAGCTAATTATCGTTGGCCAGCTGGGGTCCAAAGTCAATAATTGATTGAAACAGCGATCTCACCAAAATGGGTCCAAAGTCAATTGATTGAAACAGCGATCTCACCAAAATCTATAATCCAAACCGAGTGTACGGCTTTCCATACTTGGTCAACGGATATATGCGTGTGGGTGAGTGGGGGAGAGCATGAGGTCGACTTCCCTATTTCAACGTGATCCCAGAGAAAAACAGTCATTGGGCAGATGAACTTTTCTAGAACCCATCAATTTTAGACTAAAGCCGTTAACGTTCAAGTCAAACAACTAAATTTTAAAATATGAGCTACAACATGAAAGATGGAAGTCATGGGTTTAAGACAACTTTGACATCATTGCACTGGATAAGGTTATCTGCATGGTCCACCACAAGTAAAGCTGTACTATTTGAAGAGTCTAGAAAAGTCTGGAGCCAAGAAAACTGCTGCAACGCAAACATGAAGTGATTGACTCCTATCGGGAATGTTCCGGGTCCAATAGTGTCCCAGGAAACGTCCCATACTGACTGAGAGTCTATTATAATCACTTCAGTCGATTTTCATGGATTCTCTGCTTCAACTTCCAAAGGTACCAATCCCAGATTAGAAATAGTTCCCGAGAGAACGCCAAAAAAACTGCTACACAAATGACGACAGCTGTCTAAAGACAAACAGCACGCACGGATTATCCGAGTTACTATGGCATATGCTTCGGAAGAGAGCTGAGTTTCCAGCAAACTGACAGAAATTATCCAAGAAGTCAGCAAATACATTCGGCCTAATATACTAGTTGTTGGTGGTGGCGAAGACTTTTAGTTGCCAACATTGACATATCAGTCAAGGTAGGCAGACCATTCTTAGTTTATTTACCCACAGACCAAAATGTTAGCAGTTAATTAAAACACGGTAAGGAATAGTAGTAAATAAGACAGGCTGGTGACGGAATAAACGGCACTACCTGCAACAGACTGATGGCGTTGTGGATTGTTTGGCGGATTTGATGAATTCACACTCGGGGCGGCGGCCAAAACCACAGAAGTCTTATTAGATTCCGGTGTTCTGTTGCGTTTTGTGTTTTTTAACGCCGACGCAGAGCTCACCGAACCACTGGACGATCCAGACCCTACTTCACGGTCATATACATCACTAACGGAATTCGAATCATCTGAGCTGGATGAAGAACTTGAATGTGAACGAGTTGAGTCATTGTACGAGGTCTTCGACTCCCGACGATCAGTCGGTTTGGAGCGGTTACGACAAAAAGGCAAGTTCTTTCGGCTCTCACACGACGCAAAAGGTTCCTCTTCATCCCGCGCTAGTGGGGCGGTGGTCCCCGAACTACGAAGTGGTGGCTGCGTACTGCGTTGAACACTGTAAATGGTGGAAGTGTTGGCTGGACCAGGACCCCGAGCAGGAGTTGCCGAAGGTCCATTAGCCAACACCAAATGAGCGGTGGTCACTGCAGTGGGGTGGACGGTGATAACAGATGGTTGTTGGGTGGACGGAGGGATTTGGTGTAAGGGAAAATCCGGAGGAGGAGCTTGAGAAGGAGGTGGAGGACTGGATGAAGGAGAGCGTTGGGAATCGGCAGTGTTACTCGAGTTGTTACTCACTATGTTGGTGACCGTTGCTAGGAAAGGAAAGAAAAAAACGATAAACAAGCAGAAACAATTGATAAATAGCGGTTTAATAAAAACGCCACGTATAACCTCACCAGATGAAGGGATGGAGGTTCTCGGTTCACATGTTGTTGCTGACCGGCGCACTGTCGGATGTGGACGACTAGATGCTTGGACTGAGTTGACTGCACTTGACACCGATGTGTCGTTTGAAGATGAGGCAGTAGCTGTCACAGAAGAGGAAACTGAAGAAACGGACTGCTGAGTCGTTCTTGTGATAGCACCCTTCCCGAAGGATAACTGTTCCTGAAGTGTCCGAGCAGTAAACGAGGCTGCGGCTCGAGAAAACAATCCTTCATCTGGTGTTCTTCTACTATGAGCGGTGTTGTGGCTGTTGTACTGATTTTGTGTAGAGGGCAGTGCGCTGGCCGGGCGAGAGGGATGGTGTAGAGAGCTCCCAGGAGTGACTGATGCCGGGACAGGTTGGGCAGTTCCATTGAGTGAAAAGTCTCCTTGTCGACTGTCCAACTTGTTACCCAGACGGCTGGTGCTGTGATTAGCGTTTCCCAGCCCAGGCAATCGTCCGTGAACTTTGGGGTCGTAACGCCCTAGTAATATATAAGTGGCTGTGATATTGTTGAAGCGTTGCTGAGTTAGGGCTTCTTGAATCTCGCCCGGTTTGAATCCCATACGAACCATCGTTTCTGTGAGAAAAAACGGATGGGAAAACCGACGCACCAATAAAAATACCTGGGTAAGAACCCAATCGAAATCCGGTTAGTACCTGCATAGATTCGAGTCCAGAAAAAAACAAACTACACAAAATACAGCCAATTCCGTTAACACACATTGATTGAGGGTAAAAATATAGCGTACAGAAATCAGGAACTCCTAAACCAAGGCGCGGTGCACGTAGGCCGTTTAGAGTGCAACCATCGTAACAGACAAGCGCACAACCAAGCGGTCAGCCGTCCTAGTTTCAGACATGGGCTCGGACCGGAAAAGCGTCACGTGAATTTGTTGTGGCATTAATGGAAGTGTTACGATCAACTGTTGCGAGCGAGGGGTAAAGATGGAGGTGACTTCTGTGTCCGACGGCATGAAACCATCGCGGTGGGGAACAAGTTTCAGTGAACGAAAAGACCAAAGAATGGCAACGTTACCTTGATCACCTGTGATGAACCTCATTAAGCATCGTCACGTGCGACATCAAGTGATTCCTCAACAACTTCGGACGCGAAGAATGGATAGTAGCGCAAGTCGCGATTCGATTATGGCGACAGCGTAATTGTGTAGACTGTTGATGCCGAACCGGCCATCTCAGTAATGGCGCATGTGCCTTACAAACTAACCCCAAATACAATTTTGATTCGGCCTCAGCCCTTTAGGATGCAGTGATGACGCTGTAGCTTTCTACCGAAATGTTTACTGTCCGAACGCGCTCTGGTATTTTCACTGATCAGTCTGAAAAGGTTGTCCAGCCTCGTCTCGGTTGCACGGTACGTCTGGAAATGGGGACGCAGCTGAGCAAGTTATCAACCCCTACGGTTCAAGGGTTGATGCATTAGCTCGTAACACACCTACTAGAATCCATTCAGCTTCCACTATTCGAATACTCCCGTCTAGGCTGAGACAACCTGTTTTTATTCCATTTTTAATGTTCTGAAAAGCCTACTGAGGCAGTGAAATACACATAGTTTGGGAAACTGGGGAGCAGTAATCTCGCAAGCACTCTATAAACCCGTAAGAAGCACCCTGGTAGGCCAGTCACGAGCAAGAAACTACTGTCAGTCTGAGTGCCTGGTTCAGAGATGACTTTAGCGCGCGGAGGGTTATGCAGGTACTCATACTGTTAGATCAATGACTCACTGAGGTGAATTACCAAAAACTTGGTCAGACAACATCCCAAAAATAAGATTGGCGGATGATTTGCACCAGTTCACCGGCGAGAAATCTATCCGAATGGCATGACAATTGATATTGCTTTTTAATTTGCGTTCGATCAGCGATACAGTTGGAATCCGAGGTCTGTTGGTGTTATGGGATGAGAAAAGGCAACTGACACTGCCTCCCCCTAACATACTGGACGTTGTGAGTTCCGATTCAATTCACTACCGAGAGGACCTCTCAAACCTAGATATGACCGGCTTCCAAACCGGCTACTTTTTCAGCTGATTATTAACGGTCTGGTGTAGGTAACTGCGGGATTGATAGCATCTGAACTCATATCACTCGTTCGAAGTGCCTCACTATCCCGGAGCGATCATCCTGGTGAGCCCACACAAAAGACGAGAAAGCAGTGGACTCAAGTTTCGCAGTGAATAATACCTTTGTCGTTCCGGAATTTGTATCTCGTCAATAGAAACTCGATTAGCAACTCAATGTATTTCGCCACTGAATTTTCTTATTTCTTTTCGCTTCCGTTAAAATTGAAACAGGTACTTTCAGACCGGTTGTTCACCAAACTTAGGATCAAGTCTGGTATGATGTATATGAAATTCCTGAACCATAAGCAATATGCGTCAAATATTAATCAGTTCTGTCCAAAACGGGTGCAAAAATTGATACATTACAGGGTAGGCGGCACGATTTATTAGTCGTCTCTAAAACGCAAGCATTTTGTGTACATTTCATTAAAGTACGCAGACGATTATGCCCTCATCTACAAAGTCCGTGCTCCGTTCATCCATAGTTCAGTTATACACACGCCTTGTAATTATGCCCTACACATATTCGAACAGGTATACTTTCGTACGTGTGCGAAGTAGCATAACCGAATATCCCAGAGGGAAACAACGATTCTGTTGATCAGGCACCAAGGATCGAGCTACATCTCAATGACATATAATTGTTTCTAGTTGCCACTGATAAACGACACTGACCACTATTGTCCAATCTAATCCACAGCAAGTGATGTATAATTGTCACAAAAATGAAAACCTAAACCATAAGAGATGCCCCACTGTGACTTTGGATGTTGAGTTCCTCCGCCTACTTCTGTACGCTCAGCTGTAGCACCCTTTCGGTTCCTAGCTGCCGTGCCACCCAAAGGAAGCACGAGAGATGGGATAATGCCAAGTTGTCCAAGTCTAGACAGGAGAAGTCGAAAGACAGAGGTCGGGTTCGAGCCAAGGACCTTCCAGTCAGTAAATTCGCGCACAAACCACTGAGCCATCTCGCCCCACCCCATCCCGCCCCACAGGAAAAGACCTTGTATTTTATGTAAATGTGAACTAGCTAATGGAACGTCTTTATCTAAACACGGACGACGTCAGATCACTTGCCTCATATTCCAGTTGTTGGTTATTCAGTTAACTACATCACATTGCTTTACAGAATTTGCAGTAACTGATAGGTTGTCATGATACATCGCACAGTGCCAGCAAGTATGGCACCAATTTAGCAAATTTAGTCGCAGTGCTTCGGCCGCTATTTCCGATACCTATGACAGTATATGTAATTTCTACACCAATCAACAGTAAGGAGGATTTGTATGCTAGCTACCGGTTTGCTCAAATGAACGACTGTTGCTCAGTTCGGGAGCGAGGCTAAACAATGGACGCTACTCATGATGAGAAACACGGAAGCTGTGACCCTAATTTATCAGACAATATCGCACACATTGAGTGCATTCGATGACGTTTGGTGCCCACTCGGTTTTGTTCGTACCCCACTAAGGTTGACCGAAATTTCAGTGTTTCCGGCGCTGTTTAACATCCGGACCACACTCTGCAACGATGACAGACAAGAAACTGTCGACGAACACAACATATATCACCAGTTCACTAACACGTAAGAATCACTTTTAGAGCAGTAGTTCAGCGGTACCCAAGTGGGCGCTGCTCACAAAACGGATCACTACAAAGAGTCGATAGTGACTGAACAGAGTCATTCACACAAAACGTCCCAGTTCAGTATATAACTCGGAATTTAACTCGCTGCGTGTTAGAGAGTGGCAACAAAACACATTTGTGATTCAACGGTTCCCAGTTCAACAGTTCGTCCATTACACTGGATTTAACGGCCACTGGAAATTAAACGACCAACCATAGTGAACAGGGACGCATGTTTTTCGCACAGCACGAAATTTCGCGGCAGACGGGAAAACTGTCGAAAACCAAATTCGCTGGTAAGAAAAAGCGAACCGGTGAATTCCCAGAGAAAATTGTGACGGTCCCCACAAGTGCGTTTGTTAGGTCGGCATTTTTTGTCAAGTCGATCAAGCTAGACAAGACAACATTAATATAGCATTTGCTTCAGTCATGCAAAGCTAAGTGACTCGGTTGACAGTTGTCACTGAAGAGCAGGGGATGCTACATACCTAAAAAGGCTGGTTAACCAGAGTGGCAAACAAGAAGTGACCCGGAGATGCAAAATGTAGGGACAGCCAACGTCATTCAATAACTGTGAGTGCCCTCCTTTAATTTATTTCTGAATAATGTTAGAGGCTTAAATTAAATATATATATA